GTCAGCCACCGCACCCGGCCCAGTGATTGACTTTTTTCATTCAGTTTGAAATGTTGCTTTTTCTTCATATGATGAGTGATTTTTTGATTGAAACCTGGACATTTGGGGTATTATGTTATGAGATTCTAGACCTTATTTAGTTGGCTTCCTTTGACAACACTCCAGCATGGGGAGGGAAGGAGCTTCCTTGTTACTGCAAGTGGGGGTTGAAGTCCAGGTTCCCCACTCAGGCTCAGTTGACACTCCAGGGGGTGGGGACCCCTCACACTGCTCGGTGAGAGTGGGAGTTCTGGCTGTGCGCTAGGCTTCCACTGATACTTCTCTGGGGTGGCAAGGGCAGAAGTGCCTCATTACTGCTCCTACCATGGCCTCCACTGACACTGTGGAAGTGAGGCTGCCTTTCTACCTATTGTCAAAGGTGAAAGTTCTGACTCTCTGCTAGGTCTCTTCTGACATTCCCTCAGTAGGGAGGGGGAGGTGACCAAGTGTAGCCCTTCTCAGCATGGGGCCCTGTGTGACTGCCCAGCTTGCATGCCTATGAAGCTGGCCCTGAAAATAACCTTATCACTTCAGGTTGCTGCCATCAGCATCCTCATAGTCACCAGGAGCAGAGTCGTGGGTGGGAAAATGTGGGTCTCCAGCCCTCTCACTCAATGGCATGCATTTCCCAGACGTTTCCTAAGTGGTGTTCTCTACCAGTCACCGAGGACATAGAGAGGAAGGGGACATAGTCCTTGTTTCCAAACCTTGGCACCATATAAACTTCTAGAACCTGGACACAATTCTGGGCTGGGGCTGAGGGGCAACAATTCCTCAAGAATTAACTAATGATTCACTGCCCACCAGCTCAATGATCTAGGGGCTTGGAGTCAAACTTTTATTTTAAGTAACAATAAAGAAATATGGTATTTAACTATTTCTTGCACATTTGAGTTTGTGGACTGAGGTTTTGGGGAGGATTGTAATGGAATCCTACCATGCCTATTGTTTTATAACTTACCTTTTTTCACTAAATATCTTGAAGATCATTCTGTCAGTTTATGTAGGTCTGCCTTATTTTAGTTCTGGAAATAATTTGTAAC